GTGAATCCATTATCTCATCATGATCCTGACTGGATTTCTTTAAAGGATCTCCCACTGGGAGGAAACCCAAAATAGGCTGAACGGACTTTATATCTATTCTGGCTTTGGAATATCTTTGGATTCCTGAAAATGAGCTGAAAATCTATTGAGAAAGCAGAATATCTGGGTTTTCCTCTTGGACCTGTAATCTCATTGACTCAGGTATCAGATAAACTTTAAAGTGGATCTAAAGATGCTCCTACCTGTTCAACCATTGACCCACAATCAGACATCAGTACCGGTTTTGGTCAAAATTAAACCATTGGTTAAGGGTTCTGGACATGACTAATTTTCAATTTCAAATATATAAACTCGGCCTGATTAGGATGGAACCAGAATCAGAGCTCTGTGGATCTTACTGCCATGATTCAGAAGGCAAAAAGATTCAAGGAGAGAAAAACAATTAGTAAATAATTTCTGAAGGAAAAGACAGAACATGGAGAAATGATTTGTCCACAGATGCTGCGGCTGCTTAATGAGGTCAGGGAAAAGCAGCAGTAAAAACAATCCCACTGTTTTGTTTCTGAACTATTTCCAGAACGTCAGAACTTTGAAGTTAGCAGAGCTTTTCATTTGAGCCTCGGTTCAGTCCATCCGGGCTGCTACAGTTCAACAAAACACGCACATACCGAGGCGGCGGCGTTAAAACGTGTGGCGTGTGCTTTAGCACCCTCCCTCTTCCTTTTCTTGTCTTTTTCTTTTTCATCACCACCTTCCTCTCTGATTTCCCCTCCTGGTAAACAGGCAGAAGCTCATTAATGGATCCAGACACAAACAAGCCAGTCTGCCTCCATTAGGTCTGGATAATGTTGAAGAAATATTCAGAAAGATTCCCAAAGTGTTTTCTGGACGGTTTTAATCAAATTGTTCACCTTAGAAGGTTTTAATATTTTATGAAAATAAGCAGCAGTAATAGTTCTGATTTTTTTTGCCAATGAAAGATGTAGGCAACACCTGCATGAATATCCAGGACTAATCTAAGTAATTGATTTCTGTACTTTAGCTTTAAGGTCATAAACAGATCTCCACACAGGAAGTTTAATGGAGCTACAAAAGGACCGTCTTTATGATGAACAGGAACAAATTGTTTGCTGCAAAGTTACGGGGAAAGAGTCTGACTAAACATCTCTGCAACACCAAGGATGAAGAACAGAGAGCAGATAAAGATCATAAAAACTTATGAGTTTCTTCCTGTTTACATTTAGGGACATCCTCCTATTGATAAGGAACTGATTTATCTGAATCTTTTCTCTGCAGCACATAGAGAAAAGCATCTGATCTGCAGATAAAATTAAGAAGCATCAGTTCTGACCAGGAGCTTCCCATTAAAACCAGTAAACATTTTCTAATCCACTGGTTTTCTAAACATCGGTGAGGGGGAAGGAAATTGTCTCACATGAAAAACTGAAAGACAGGACGTTTGATCTTAAACAGCTCTGCATGATTTCTAGAAAGTATTCAATTGCAATACTTTGCTGAAAATAATTATAAAGTTATTATTTAGGTTTTTCTTGTTTGCTCCCAGTAAACATTGTCATTATCTACCAGAGAGCTTTAGCATCTCAGCTACAGAAGATATACTGCTGGTTTTGGGAAAAATTAAAGTCCATTTAACTGCTGCAGCAATAGATGTGAAATTATTAGCTCCTATTAAACATGTGAGGTTGCTGTAATGCAGGCACTGATTTTTATATAATAACTGGTTATACTGGTCAGCTCTGGTGTGGAACCTGCTGTAGCTTCACTGTATTAGGAGTAAGAACATCATAGCCCCCTGATGATACCTCCAACCAGGATCTAAATGTTTTGTGGCTCTGAAGCTTAGTCATAATCACTGATTTATTTCTATTAGGGAATTATTTATGTCCATTTTTGGAGCATCTGCCCTGCAGAATAAGAGACACATCCTAAGTTTTAAATAGATGTGAGTCATGTCTGAATTTCTCTAATCTATAGTATATCTAATCTATAATCTAACGAGCCCACAGCAGAAATTCTAAAATACTCTAATTACATAAAGCAATCATAAGGTTTCTAGAGATAAATGTTTAAATTTGAAATATTAGACAGTCCTTATGGAGATAAATGTAAATTATGGGCTTTGATTATATATTTTAACCAAATATTTTTCCAGAGTGAAATGATTATACAAAATGAAACTTTATTTTAATAGTATTAACTTATTTTGAAATGTTTTTCCTCTATAAAAAGTTAAAATTGATTTTAACTCAAATAAAATTATGATGCTGATGATAATGAGTTATTCCTTGATAACCTGAGGAAACTAACAATAAAGCTCTATATTTAACCTTTATTATCGTAATTTTTTGGGGTAAATTGTGAATTTAATAAAAGCATCAAGGTAAAAAAAAACCTCAAGTCACAGGTCATTAGAGTTCAAATCAAAGTTAAATCTCAGGTCTTTTCAAATATAAACATCTGTAATTAGGATCAAGTCATCAAGCCAAAGTCCAATTACTTCTAAGGTACAGCTGTAAATCTATAGATATATTTTTAAAAGATCCTTGAGGATTTGCTCTATAAAGTCATTATTCTGGAAAAAAAAAAAAAGTTTCATATGAATCAGTTCATGCTCTGAACCAATCAGAGCTTCACACCAATGATCAGTTCTTACATGTTTGACTCTAAATCATGTTTTAACATCGACTTTCATGTCAGAAGGGGAGGATTTAGGCAGCTGCAAACAAACACTGTAATCATACTTTCCAATTCTCCATAAAGTAAAGTTTGCAGCGCAGCTTTTCCTTTTAACGTTTTTATAATGACTGAACATCAATGGCTGCAAACATAACAGCCTCCCTTAAATTCTGACCTATTTTTCTTTTTAAGTATTTCAGTCTGATTCCTTGATTACAAAGACCAACTGTCCTCAAATGTAAAATGACATTTTTCTGTGCTTCACCCTCAATTAGCTCTCTGCAGGAGGAGCTCTCAGTCATCTAAATGTACCTTGGCTCTGATTTAGTCTGTGTTTGCCTAAAAACACTGAGCGTATGATTACAGCTGAGAGAACATGGGGAAAGCGGCTGACCAGTCATTCGGTTTGGCTGAAATCCGTCAGTCATTCAGAGGATCTGTCCTCCCTTCACCGACTGCATCTTCAAGATTAAAGGAGATTTAAAATCATTCAAGAAATTGATTCTGACATTATTGAAATATAAATCTGTTTATAAAAACTTTTATTCTTTTTTCATCACTTCGATTCTGTCATCAAATCAGGTTTTATAAGATGTAAAAAGCTGAACCAGTTGAGTATTTGAAGGTTTGTGCAAATATAAAATTATTTGGTTAATTATAAATAATAAATCATGTTTAAAACTGCTACAGATCAGCAAATCTCTGAGTTCAAACAGTGTTTATGCTGTTTATTTCCTTACTTTACATGACTGAACACCAGATAACACCAAGCTTCAAAGCCAGCTTAGAAACCACCTCGTCTGCAGAAAACAGCATCAACTGAGCTCTGTTCTCTACAGGTGTGTGTTTCAGTGTGGGGTACCTCCACCACTCAGTACCCCGGCGGTTCGCTGGTGCCAAGTGACTTCAAACACCGCTCAGTTATTCGGTGCACAGCAATAACATTCAGCTGGTGAAAAGTGACATTTTTGAAGAAATTAAGAGGAATTTGACCCCAGGCATAAAGGTGTCTTTCTACAGAGCTCAGCCTCACATACCACAGCTGGGGGGGTGGAGGGAGGAGCAGGGAGGAACACCGAGCCAGGAGGGCTGAGCAGATACCCAGGAAGGACTGTCAGGTTGGCAGGAGGAAGAGGAGGATGCAATATGGATTCAAAAAAATAAGATTGTAACGACAAACAGGAAAACTAACAATCTAAAACTGTGAACTATAAATGTTTTGATTTTAAGCTCCTAACTTTAAAGCTGAAAATCTAGTAAATCTGTGCTTAATACATTTTACTTAATATAGAAACATTAGGTGGAAATTATCTTCAAAAATGTCTTATGTTTATCTTTCGTCTTAACCTGTAGGTCTCTAGGTTAGAGGCTGATGCTGCTTTTCTAAATCTGCTGCTGCTGACTTGGCTGAAATAGTCTGCTGGTCCTGAACAGAGAGGTCATTGTGCTTCCTCCATCTGCTGGCAGGAGTTGGTACTGCAGGAGAAAAAAAACCCACTGAGGCAGTTTGGAGCAAAAACCTGCTACCTGGATAAATAATAAATATATAGTTCTCCTCGTCTACTTATTTTAACCAGAAAATTGATGATTAGCTCATGATTTATAGTGCACATACTCTGACTGCAAAAAAAAACTTAAATGTAATTTAAACTAAGCATCGTTTAATGGTGCAACAATAATGTGTAGTTGTGGTTAATAGTATGTTAAGTGTGTCTGGTTTTACTGTTGGTAATGATAAGGTGGACATGGAAATGAATAGTTGCTGAACATAATAGAGAACAGATTCATCCTCATAACTCTGTTGTGTTTTATCAGGGTTTCAGCAGAGGGAACAGAGGCAGCATTGTTGGGGGAAGTTTTCTCTGCTCTAATCTCAGCTGTGCTGCATCCTTTTAGGTGGAGTTCAGCCAAACAGGTGTGGAAGGAACATGGAAAAAAGTTGCTGCTAAGGAGAAATTACAGAGGAGGAGATAAGAGGAGGTGGAGAGAAGTTGGCAGCTCATTGATGCTGGAAGCTTATTAGGATGAAAGCTCAGCACTCCCTCTAGAGGCTAATAGGTGGAAGTGCAGGGGCAGTGGTCAGCTGGGGCCCTGGGGTCCTGCTGGACTGAGGAGGGGATCAGGTTTCCAGGAAACTGTAGAAGAAAACTTCAAATCTGATCACTGCTTGTGTTTAAAGTGGATCCTGAAACAATTCAAGCCTATTATTAGTTATTTTCTAATAATAGAAGGACTGGTCTCTAATGTGGCTGCAAACATCAGATTATTTTTTCCTTTTAATAACAAATGAGAAACTCTTCAAATACAGTATTAAAACTTTTACTCAGACATGATACAACAAACAGAAACAAGATTCAGAATTAATGACTGAAAAAAAACCAAACGATATTATTCTTTTTTTTTCTTCTTTCAATCCCCAAAAAAAGTCAATTAGCTCCACCAGTAAAACGGAGTAAAATACAAACGGGACCAGAAAAACAGACACAAGAGAAACAGACGAATCAAACAGAAGAGTGATAGAGTCAGGTCGGGTTTTTTTTTCTTTTCAGTTCTTGCATTTGTTTTAATACTCGTAGTAAAGAAACGGTGGATAGCATAGGTTGAATTTATGGAGACGAGAAACAACACAAAGAAACACTGTGAAAGTTTTTTTAAGATGAAGAGTAAACCATTAAGGAAGATCCTAGATCTACTGGAAAATATTTTTTTTTCAGTTTTTCCTCTTGATCAATAACTGAACACCTGATCCATCTTGTTTAACTTCTTACCTCCCTCTGTGTCTCAGCAGACCTTTACGTAGCCAAAAACCATAAACACCGCCGTCCCTCAAGAGGGCGGCCATTTTGAATCAGTCCTTTCTATCGGGTTCCTTCACTGTAGCCACGTCTTGGTCTGGGTTTCTTCTCTGCTCTTCCTCTAAAGCTACAACCACAGTTTCTACAGCTCCCAACTACGCTCACACTCCAACCAGAGAAGATCAGGTCCAGGGTTAGTCTGGCTCTATCTAATCACTCCTTATTTGCATTTCTCTCATATATTTGTTATCAGGTCGTGGGACCCTATAAAGCACCAAATGATCAGCTTGAGCACCCAGAGGGGTCCTCGCCCAGGACAGGCCCTCTCCACACAAGCTGCCATTTCCATTCCTATTAGGGCCCCTGTTCAGAAACTACTGATGCTAGCGTTAGAGCACTGTCTTCACCGTGCTGCACAAGAATCACGATTTACACAAACGAAGAGGGCAGAGTGGCCCAAGAATAAAGATGGCTGCAGACAGCTTGGCAGTGATTGAGAACTGTGAGGGTGACGGTCTGAAGGCTGCATAGCTCACTCTGAATCTCTACGGTTGAACCAGCCTCGGCTCTGAGGGGGTACAACGGCGCCGCCCTGTCTGATCGGGTCACCCAGTCTATTAAAAAATAAGATAAAAATCCTTTCGATTAAATCTCTACTCATAAAACACAAGAAAATGTAACAAAGATGGCGACGGCAATACTGCTACGCAGTCAACAGGTGGCAGCATGCGCCTGCCTTGAGTGCACACTCGCAATGACGAAAATTTGTGGGAGGGGCGGTGCGATGCGGCGGTGATCGCGAATCATCGCAGCTCTGCCGTCAAGTAAAGTAAGCAAACAGGAAACTGCTAGCTTTCAGCTACGGCAACTGAGATGGGTCAGAACAATGCCAGGAGGCGATTTTATTTTTAATAAAGCTTCGGCTCAACATCCCGGCTGATTTTCTCTTGACGACCCCCAGCGTGTCACAGCCAGAGTTACAGTTTCTGCCAGTTAAAACATGAAGCTGCAGATTAATGAAAACATGCATAAAAACATGGCCACACAGCGAGTAAACGCCTGCTAAACGCCTGCCTGCTCAGTGGCCTAGCTTAAAAACCTGCACCGCTCCATAGCTTTTATCACTGTGTTTATAATCATCCGAAGCTAAGCTGTCAGCTAAATAATGAAAACAATATAGAAACTTAAAGCAAAAACAAACATGACTGCTGAATGGAGGGATGTAGAACACTTTACTGCTAATTAACACCAAATAACAGATCAATAAACACGATGCGCGTGTTACAAGATAACTGTTCTCATCCTCATCCCTGGTTATGAACACGTTAAATTATTCACGACAGGAAGCTCCAACAGAAGAGAGGAAAAACTTTATGCTAGCAGGTTTCCAACAGTTGGCTTCAGGACTCAAAGCTGCATCGGCTCGTTTTCCCGCATCCTAAAGCACTGAGACCCTCATGAGGGTGGAGGTTATGAACACGCCTCCATCTTTCTTTACTGTCGTCAGAAGCCGACTTTTCTGCAAACAAAGGAAACAGCAAAAATTAAACCAAACATCTAACAGATGGAAGCAAAACTAAAGCCAGGCAGCGCTCTAAGGTCAACTTTCCTAAATTATTAAGAGTAAATCTTACAGGTCAGCTGCAATCCTCACATCACAGCAATAAGTCGGCCGAACGTTCAAAGAATCAGAATCTGATCCTCTCATCATCTTCAGATTGTGAACCTGATAGCTTCCAAACCTTAGGATCTCCCTAAAGATGAGTCTGAGCGTAAGAAAAAACGTCATTCTCTACCAGAATGAGGCCGGTGAACATTTTATACTTAAAGACAACAAAGCTGATGGAGAACAGGCTAGATCTACGTCTGATTTGTCTGAGTTCTTGCATACTGTATTTGCATTGATGTGAATGTGCAGGTCATTAAAGACCAGGTTAATGATTTAGCACCTGGAAGAGGACAGCTGGACCTCTTCACGAGAAGGAAAACTGCAAAAAATGTTCTGGTTTCTATCAAATCTGTTGGCGAAGGAGGCAGCTGAATACTTTAGATTATCGACACTCTGCCGGAGGGGGAGCGGAGGCCTGTGCTCCCCGGTGCTGCTCACATTTTGAGGGCGTGTGGAGGGTTTTCTTCTCAACGCTTCGTAGCTGCATTTGACTTTTTTTTTTCTTCACAATTTTTTTTTCTTTAAATCACAGTAAACATCAAGTGCTATAATGTCGAGAAGAATCCAGCCAATCGGGTTACTGGGAAGGACAGGAAACGTTGGCAGACGCTGGTGCAAAAAGCAGCAATGAGGTGTGGTTTTGGCCCTGGTCAGTTTCAGGTTTTTTGTGATTTCAAGAGATAAAAACGTCACGTTTTAATTGAAAAAAAAAAAAAAAAAAAAGCAGAAAATAGAAGTTTAAATTTTTCGAAGCCACATGTTTTACTCCAAGTGTGAGCAGGCCTTTGTTTCTGCACAACATCTTTTTTTTGGTATTATTTACAGCTATTGTACAAAAGATTCAAGCCAACACACAGAAAAGTCCAAATCCACAGGTAGTAGGTGTAGGATTTTCATCACACGGTGGAGCAGATTACAGCTCAAGATGTAATCCAAACATCGGTTCATAGTTTATCCATCTACAGCCGACCGGTTCTGTGAAACATCTGCAGTTTCACCGAGGTCCATACCGTCAACGGGGGGGATTAAAATATACTTTTCCTGACTTTCTCATTAATTCTGTTTCCATTTCCAGCTCTGCTCCCGATTCTTTACGAAAAACAAGCGCTCAGCTCCTGGTTAAGCAAACGGAGCAGAGCGGAGTCACGTCAGTTAAACATCCAAAGCATTCGGTCCAAGGACACTTTAAAGGTCAAAGGTCAGGCGATCTGACCACACACTCTGTCTGATTATATACATGATTACTTAGACGGATCAGAAAAAAATTTCCTCTCTCGCTGGATCAGAGCTGGTTTGGTCGTTAGGGCAGATTCTCATCAACAACCAGGAAAGTTGCTAGTTCCAATTCCCAGGCGTGGCTTAAATCTGCCCAGGAAAAAACAATCATTCATGGGACGTAATGAGGAAGCCCTACACTTAGTACCTTCAAGTTCATCTCAGGTGTTCAGGGGGGGGCAGGTGGTCATTTTTAGGGGAGAGGTACATTTACACAGTTACAACTCACAAAAGTGCATCAATGACCACCAGGCGGGGGAGGTGGGGGATAAAACAGGAACAAATACTTTTTTTTTTCAACTTTCCATGAAGCTTTACTTCCTGTAAGCTTCAAGCGTCTTAAAATGCCAAACATCCTCAAAGTTGGAGATAAAATCTAAACTTAGAAATAAAATAAAAACAAAATAATTCAAGTCATTCTTCCTTTCTAACGAAGCCCGCTGTGCGCATCAGGGTTGGAGGGACTCTGTTCCGTAAACAGAGCGCTCCCAGCCCTCTTTTCCTGGATTTCAATGCCTTAAAAAGCGCTCATTTTATGAGTACAGTACTTCAAAAATAGAAACTCGAGCAAGTGTCAGCATATCAAGAAAAAAACAAAAACAATACTATGTTTACCTGATTGAATAAATTCGCTCTGATGATGTGTTTGCATGTTCTTTAAAGAAGATTTAGTTTGGATGGTGGATTCAAATGCTACGCATCTGATCTCCAGCTAAAATCATCAACTAATAACTAACCAGCTCGTTCTGACAGACAGAGCAGCTAGAAGAGGCTGTAAGGAACCAAAGGAAGAAGAAAAACACCAGTTATACAGAAGCAAAAATCCCACTGTGAGATGAAAGGTGTGAAAACTGAAGTCTAACTTAGATTAAGACATTTCCTGGATGTGTGGGATCCTTCCCGGAGTCGACGCCATCGGAGAAGAAAGCCGATTATGGAAAACAAGTGAAAATCCATGCGTGTGTGTTAGCATTAGCAAATATTAACTTCAAGCCTTTTCTGTGGGGGTTGTTAGATCGTTCAGTTCGTGTGTCCAGTTTCATGAATGTCTGAACGGATAATTAAGCGTGGTGACAGGAAATGTGTGCGTGTGTGTGTCTGTGTGTAAAAGCTGGTACATTAAAACCAGCAGGTGCTGCAGTTAAGCAAGGCCCAACAGGAGGAGCCGGCGAGCAGACGCTGGAGGTCATGGGGGGGTCATCCTGGTGTGCGTCGGATCCTGACCGGTCTGTACGCGGCTCCCTTAAGTCAGCTGGTGAGGCGCCTCCAGCATCTCCATCAGGAAGGTGTCGATGGGCGTGTCGCCGATCAGTTTAAAGAAGAACAGATGCTCCAGGCACTTCAGACCGATGGAGCGCAGTGCTGGGAGTCGGAGGAGGAGCTTAGCAAACCTGGATGGAGCAGAAACGGGTCAGACGGGTAAACAGCAGCAGAAACGTTAAGAAAAATCATAAATCCAGACATTGAAGGAGATAATAAACATCTTCTAAAAGTTCCTTCCATGTTCTACTGTACCTGCCCTGCTGATCCGGGTACTTCTGTTTGCAATAAGCTTCAAGAGACGCATACACTCTCTCTCTGAGGAGCTCCACCTCACTGGGGTTGGATAAACCCTTGGCATCTGTCAGAGGAAAATAAAGCATCAGTATAGAAATCCAAACCCAATTCACTGGTTTCCCATCAGAACATGACCAGAACCTCTGCATTCGATGCAGCAGCAGCGTGTACCTGGGTTAAAGAGAATGATAGCGCGGAGGCAGCCCAGCTCTGTCTTGTCCATCTGCATGTCTCTCATTTTGCTAACAAGCTCTGTCAGAACCCTGAAGAGAGAAGAGATACGCAGTAGGATGGTGCATCAGAGAGGGGGGGTGGAGGTCATTAAAAGTTAAGAACCAGGAGAGAGAAAAAGAGCAAAGCATTAAGAAAAGAGAGAAGATGAGTCCATGGGCCCACATGGTCGAACAGAAAACTGCTTCTCAATGCTTTTTCACAGGAAGTATGGTTTGGCTGAACTGCTGGTTCTGAACTGCTGGTTCTGAATTAGGAGGAAAAATAAAAACTGTTTAAACCCAAAGTGGTTTAAACAAGATGGCTGGTCTGTTTTCCAACAGATTTACTATGAGGTGCATAAATATCTTAAGTAAAAACGTCAGAAGTTCAAACTGACAACCGATGAGGAAACCGTAACAAAAAACATGTTAAATAATATTTAGATTTTCTAACCCTAAAGCGAAATATTTTTAACTCAGCCAGTTTTAAATAAACTATAGCTAATATTTGAATTGTAATAAACCTAAGACTTTATTAGAGCTGGACCAGTATAGCTTTAGTTTTTTATGTCTGCAGTTTTAGGAATTACAGCTTTTACATAACTCTTCATCTAACTGTAGTTTGCTATCAACATCAACCCCATCATCTCCACTAGTCTGACATTTTAAACCAGATCCCTGTGGTTTACTGTTAAAATATTAACATAAGAACACATATTTGCAGTCATTTTATTATGCAAGCCTTAAAAAAGGAAATAAACCAAACTGTTGCATGTTGAGTATTAGAGAATATTCATCAAGTGGAGATCCTTATTAAGAATGACTTTTTAACGAAGTTATCATCTTATTAAAGCTACAGTGTGTAATTTTCATTGACCTCTAATGGTCAGGTAACATCACTTCTCCCTCTCTGACAATACGGAGATCATCGTGGTATAAAATGGCTTCTGCATCGTCCGCATCACCTATCCTGTCAAGTGATGACGAGGTTCGTTAACATAGATAACTTTATAAGTAGTATTTCTTTGGTCTGTGGAGGATAAACAAACATATAAACAAACATGATGACGATCTCAACAGTCACTAGTTTATCAGCTCCTAGATGCCATAGAGGAAAGATGTCTGCCTCCATGTCGGATACTATTCAATTATAAATAACAATTTCTAAGGCAACATAAAGATGAAGAGATTTTCAGTTTGTAGATGATATAAATAACATAGTTATGCATAATACGTTACATTTCTGTCAGAAAATTGTTGCAATTATTACACACTGTAGCTTTAAGACACAAGTCATGAATGCTGTAATCTATAATAAATAGGCTCAGCAATGTTTCTGCAGCTCATATAAGGTCAGATTTATAAACTTAAACTGTAAATCCCCAGATGGCGTTACGTAAAAGAGAAAGAACACCATTATATCTCTGTTTTTGAACCAGATTCTCCCAAAGCTATCATCAGTAATATGCTAATATGATTTTATTCTTTTGGTCTTTTAAAAAAACGGCTTGTTTTTAGTTTAGAATATCTCAGTATCCAATTTAATTTGCTCTTTTTTAGGTGTAGGGCTGCAAATATTGGTCATTTTGCTAAATAATAAATGTGTCAATTATTTTTTTAAATAATCGATTAATAACAGAATAGCAAAAGAAGATGCATAGATTTTTTTTGTTTTACAGTATCTAAACCCACTGAATCTAAAAATGTGCCACATAAAAAGTTGTGGATAGGATCTACTGACTCACAGAAAGGTTGTTAAAGTCTCTCTATTCCAGTTAACCATTAATCTCCAATTTAAAGTGGTTAAAAATTATTTCAATACCTTCATGATCAATGTGATTAATTGGTTCATCCCTACTTAAGTTTATATTCATATAAGGCTAAATAAAATTAATTTTAGGGATTTGGGTATTTTTACTTTAAGCTGTCATTTGTTGATTCTGAAAACAGAATCAGCCATTAAAAACTAAAATGTTTATTTAGATTATTTAAATTCAGAATGAAAGCACCAAAAAAAGAAACCCTGAATGGTCTTCAAAACATTTCACTCTCGATTATCACATGTTCAAATAAAAAGGTTAGCATGCTTCGTGAGAAGATGTGTAGGAATTTTATTAACAGCGCCTCACAGAAATGTCACCTGGATTAAAAACAGGAAACCGCCGGGACAACCAAGTGATGCAAATTAGCGTCGCTTTATCTCCCGATGAATCGTCTACGATCAAATGAATATCTGTTTATGAAGTTTTGTAAACAGGCACCAACTCTATTAATAAACCACAGTGCCAAAGGAAGGTTGTTTTTTCCCCTAAAGGTGTGGATTTGTTTTGAAAGTTAGTGGATATAAAAGAATAAAACAGAAATGATGTAAACACTTCATCAACACAAGCCACTGATGTTATGAAACGGACGCTTCCGATGGAAGGTGGCGTTTAATGGTGCAGGTCAGGTCAGAACCGCTGTTATTTAATAATGATCCAAACAAACAGGTCTGCTAGAATCACTAATGCTTTGGAAACCGCAAAACTCCAATTCACACTTTATTTTTTGGTTCTTTGTCCTTAAAAGCTTTGGTTGCAGAAGATACTTCTGGTGATTAAAAAAAAGCAATAAAAGCCACAAACAAAATGGTGTCAAACAAATGTTATGACAAGGCTGAGGTTTTTTTCTGTTTACATTTTTAATTTTATACCAAAAAAATCAGAAAAATGGTGCTACAATCCAATAAAAGCTGTGAAGCTTCCCTGTTGATTTTCACACCTAGTCAAAGAGGAGGGGTTCAGGAAAGGTGTTTGTGTAGTGGCGTAATTACCTGTCAAATAGGGCCCCAACCTCAGCATTGTTCGCCCTGTGTATTCAATCACAATGTGTTATTACAATGTCATTACACAGATGGACAGTACAGCATCCTGTCTGTGAGCTGATCTCTACATGTAGGCCATGCTTAGATATGATCCTCAGATCAACACTGCGCTCAGCTCCATCTGAAATGAGTCCTTTTGTTGCTTCCTTTACATTTCATCCGAACCAGAACACTGTTAGGGGTTAAAAGCTTAAATTGGAGCTCTGCTAAACATTACAGGGAGCTTTATAAAATCTTTAAAACACCATCATTTTACTGTTCTTCAGCAAGCAGAAGATGTCAGAATTTAAATGTATATTTGAAAACAATAACCTATGGATCCACTGATTAGTGAAAAATCCCTCCATGTCTGATGGGGTCTCAGTGCTGCTGCCTTAGAGAGGAAAACCTTTAAATAGTTATTAAGCTGTGGCTCCTTTGCTGTGCTAAAATAAAGGGTCTAAGCAGTGATACAGGATTAACTTTAGAATCCTGGAGTTCATCTAAAGCTAACTGATCTTATCCGTCTACTAATAACTAATTAATAAGCAGCCATTTTGTTCAAACTGGAGTTTTCACTTGAGGGTCTTTCATGGAGGGCTAACTTTAGCAAAACCTGTTGATTGTTTTTGTTTTTAAAGTAGCAGATTGATTAATTGATATGTGAAAATTTTCTTACAAATCAGATTTTCTCTTGTATCAAAAGGATCCTTTCATAATGTGAAAGGCTAATTTTTTATTTACAATATGAGGAATTTAAAAAAAGGGTGCATAATTACATTTGACCTATTTATTGTGCAATCTATATTAAATACTGACCGAATAAACAAACAATATAATTTCTTACATATTATTCAGTCAGTTTGATTTTTAAAATAAAACAAAATGGGGACCTTATAGGTTACTAAATTAAAAAGTGATAAACTATGTTAAACTTTTACATTTCCACTAAACTAACATGAAAAACTATATTTAAGATACAGGGTGTTTCGCTCTGACACGATGTCAGACTATCTACCTCTTTGTTTTAATGGAGGGGACGGACGCTCTTTATTTTCAGTTCAATGCAGCAATCTGGATTGGTTCAATCCGCTGCTGGGAGAGACATTTTTCTGTAACTGTCGGTTTTAACATCTGGTTCCATTAGCTTTCAGGGGAATGCTTAAAACTTGGCTCCATGGAAGCCATTAAAACAAAAAAGCCTTTTTTTCCCTCTACCATGTCTTCTTCATGTTACGAATATTTTGCAGATCTGTCTATTCTCAAATCCTCACCTTCCAAGCAGAACAGAGGAAACGGTGCTGCTTCACCATGCAGCACAGCTAAAAGCACTTATTTAGGGGATAACGCCTAGAGTTTATGGAGTGTTTATATTTACTAACAGAACCAAATTAAGCAAATTCCACATCTTTGGTGCAATTAAAAAGGGTAAATAATCCTTACTGGACTCTGGATTGATTCATGTTTCTGCTCTAGCATGCCTCTGCTCCGTCATTACTTTTTTTTTTTCAAATATCAGTGATGCGCCTCTTAATAAAGAACTGTGGCGCCCTCTGCTGGATGGTGATAACACTAAACCACTGAAGGAAATTGCTTCTACCCAAATGTTACCTGTTGATGTAACCTTTAACCTTATAAACCATCATTTGATATTTAAACATGTTGATTATTTGTTCACTCCCCTAACTTGAACACCTGAATCAAAAGCGGACCTTAACCACCAGGTGTTGTTGAGCAGAAAACATCTTAACAGTTTAGTCTGCACTAATTAAAGTAAAGAAAACAAATCCAATTGTTATATTTTTAATTAGTTCTTTGATCTAACAGAGGTTGAATTTAAAGGGACAATAAACTTGAGCTTCAATGAAATTATCAAGAGAAAAAAAGGATTATGAAGTGATCCCAACTAGAGTTGCAACTAACGATTATTTTGCAAATCGATTAATCCGTCAATAATTTTTTCGATGAATCAATTAATAATCATATGGCCAAAGGTTTTTTTCTTTTCTTACAAAAGTAAACCAGGTGAAACTAAAACTTTTCCACTTTAGGAATTCTGCATAGAGCATGTGTATCTTAAATGCAAAATGTTTATACATTTCCTTTACAATTTTTATATAATTTCTGCTCTAACTGGGCCTCTCTGTCAGCTAAAGGCATATTTTACAGCCTTTATACTCCAGTTAACGATTAATCGATTACTAAATTATTTGACGATTATTTCAACAATAGATTCATCTGATTAATTTTTTCAGCCCTAATCCCAACCAACTTTCCTTTAAACCAAATTAAATCTAAAATTGGCTACTTATAATAACATAATTACGGTGTAAGTGACAGTGAATTAACACGTTGTGATGAGACTTTGATTTTAAATCCTAATCAAGGCAGATAGGAATGTAATACATGGATGAATTAATATTTGCGGAAGCAGATAAATTATATAAAAGACAGTCAGACTTTGCCTAAACCCTTTTTCAGAGCAATCATCTTAATCTTATGTAAACCATAAAATCCCATAGTTTATACATTAATGTTTAACCAAAATAGCAAAAATCTATCATTTAAGAAAAAACAAAAAAGAAATAAAAAACATGGACATGCTCTATAACATTCACAATAACCAGATGCACATTTATAACTGAAATTAAAAATATCTTAAGGAAACTGATCTGATGTAGTCATTTGTTAGTATATTTTCCTCCTCCAGCCATTGTCATTGCATTCTTAAACACTACGCTGGATGCTAAGCCAGGTCGCTAAGTCAGGGTGGGCGTGCATGCATGTTCATGGGTAAGCATTAATCACCAGCCTCCCTCGCCTTTCATGCACTAACGTCTGACAGCCAGAACATAAAAAGCAGCATCTTTCAGCCAATAACAGCCAATGCAGAACGCAGCAGTTGCAGCCAACCAAATATGAGAAGATACTACCCTAAACATTTAGCCCCGGTCATTAATTAATCAGCTTGATAAGTATTTATTACTAAATAAAAGCATAAAACCATTGAGACAAATGATTATATGGTACAATTAGACTTTATCTCATAGTATAAGAAATCAATACAGTAGCCCGCAGAGGTTGATTTTTTTTCAAGTTCCGATCTCTAATGAAGTTCTGTAAATACAGCAAAATGTTTTTATGATCACGTAATAAACTATTAAATGTCGTATAACTTTCTCATCTGTACATCAACATGTGAATCACCTGTCAAAGATGGCTCCGACCCCGGCGCTGTGGGCACTGTTCCTGTGGACATGAAGGCCGGTGGCCAGTAAAATGCCGTCCTTCACAGAGATGGAGCGATGGGAGAACGATGCAATCAGGAGCTCATTCCAGCCTGTTGGACGGTTACAGTCTCAGTGTTTAACAAAAAACTTTCTCCAGCAATTTAACCATATTAGGATCTACTAATATCACAGGGATCCAAATTTAGAGATCAGACCTATGGATCATTTTAATATTATAAAAAACAAAATCCAACATATTCATTTCAGGTTATAATAAGAAAAAAAGTTGTTCTACCATAATCTAAATTAAACTGAAAATGCTAAAAACCTTCTTTCCAGGAAAGCAGAGAACTGCCTAGTCTTCCCAACCAAGGATACAGAACCGGGCTTTAATATGGACCTCAGGCAGGAGAATAAGATAAAATTGATCAATGAAAGTCAGACTTTTTCCAACCTTTTTGCTGTTTAACCTCTTGAAAATCTCATGATTAACCCAGATAAACTGGAGGAGGTTTATTCTATACTTTCAAGTGACTCTCTGTGTTTGAAAGGGTTTATAGTTTAACCACCTCTAAAGCTTAACTTGTTAAACTAATTTTAAAATGGTTATGAGCTCTAATTCCAGACTGAATTTGTTCTTTTATGATACCAGAACAAGTAAAGATCTCTGAGTGACTGTCAGGATGGTACAATAAAAACATCTAGGTAACAAATAAAGATGGAAGTTTAAGCTATAAATGATAAAATGCACATGATACAAAGTTATAGGACTGTAGTGTCAGAAACGCAGATAGAAGCAGCGACAAACCTGCACGGAGCAGGATGACCTGATCATCCAGAGGAAGCTCAGAGAAGTGAGGGATCCTCTTGGCCCATTCCACCAGTGTGAAGAGCTGCTTGTCTGCTGCCTGACAGATGTTGGTAACTGGATCATTGGGCTGCAATGTGTAGAAACAGAGCATTAGGAGGGGTTCATGTTTTTACCATAGAATCAGCTTATCAATATATAGATAAAAAGAAAAAATTCATAATACTTTAATATCTGAATAATTAAAAAATCATTCCGATAAACTGCTAGAGACTCACAGAGCTGCCGCCTGAACTTCCATCTGCATGAAGCTCCGTTTTCTGCTCCACAGCCATCTCTGCCTCCAGAATCTTCTCCACCGGCATCTCCTCGTTCACCGCGCTGGTGGACTCCACCTCGCCTTCGCGCTCCTTGTTCCGTTGCCGCTCCTCCTGGACAGCTGCAGAACCAGGAAACGGAGCAGGAAAGGAGTATGGAGAGATATTTGTGCCATCGGTTTGAGCGCGCAGGAACCAATCCGAGCGCGCAGTGAGACAACGCGCGCGCACGCAAAACCGGTCTGGCGCGCGCTCAACTCTGAAAAACCCTATCAAACACACTGTTCTCGCGCTCAGTTTCATCTCTGCGCGTGCTCGAATCCGTCTCTTCTCGCGCTCGCTCGACCTACTCTCTCTCCGCGCTCAACACCAGCTGTGCGCTCGGCTGTTTCTCCGCTCGCTCGACTCTCTGCGCTCGCAACTTCAGCAATGTATGTAAATGAACCATACCATCAGCCAATCACACCCAGCTTCTTTTCATCCAATGAAAGCATTCCTTCCTTCTTCTTCTTCTTTTCTATCATGGTGGATCGCAAGCAACTTTAAGGTGCATACCGCCACCTACTGTTCATGAGTGTGTAGCAACATTGTTTTACATCTATTAAATTCTATTTTTTAATTTTGCATTCTGAAGATAACTAAATAATGCTTTCCTTAATCTATAAATATCCTTTATATTTCCTTTATTTCCCAATAATCCTTTAAGACTCCATTCTTGGCCTGTCATTTCAACTACTCTTCTCAATTTTTCCCTTTCAGGTTCATATGTTTTACAGTTCATTAATATGTAAGCATTCGTTCCAAATACTACATCCGGTTAAATGAAAAAAAAAAATAAATAAATAAATAAAAACACAATCAGGAAAATCAAAAACTCTTACAGTTATTTTGTCAACAGTCCTAAGATAGTACTATAAAATATCTTGAATTATCTCAAATAAACTTCAGTAAAACAGTTATTAGATCATTGCCTCATCCATCTCTTTTACCTGCTATTGACATGGATTTAAATTTGCTGTTTTAAAAGAAAAATAAGGAGGATATTTCAGGTTCAAGTATGGTTCAACAGTATATAGATAATGTTTTGGATCATATTGGCCTTACTCTTAGCTTTTGTGGCGGGTGTTTCTTCTTTTTGTTGTTTTTGTATGGAGGTTGGCAAACAACAATTACCGCCACCAACTGAAAAATCCTGTTTATCAAATTATTCTTTTTAATATATATAATAAAGAATAACCCTCTTATTTAGAGTCCATCTGTAAAAGGTCTTCTAAATAATAATTGTTAAATTTCAGATCAGGTCTGCTGTCTGAATAATTGCGTTTAAATTAATATAACGGTCACTGATCTAAAATCAGAGCAAACTAAACTTCTTAATGGAACGATTTCTTCAATCCATTGTAAGGCCAATATGATCCAAAACATTTCTCCTTTGTAGGCTGAATTCCATCACTGATTCTTTTACCCGATTTAAAAATAAATTCTGAAACTAAAACAAAACACCATTCCTAATATTGGAATATTTTTGAAGCATCCATAAAAAATTTAACATACCCATAATATTTTTTATCTATATATTGTTGAACCATACTGGAACCTGAAATATCCTCCTTATTTTTCTTTTAAAACATCAAATTTAAATCCATGTCAATAGCAGGTAAAAGAGATGGATGAGGCAATGATCTAATAACTGTTTTACTGAAGTTTATTTGAGATAATTCAAGATATTTTATAGTAATATCTTCTGTCCATCAAATGGTTAGGAAACTGTAAGAGTTGTTTGATTTTCCTGATTGTGTTTTTATTTATTTTATTTTATTTTTTTCATTTAACCGGATGTAGTATTTGGAACGAATGCTTACATATTAATGAACTGTAAAACATATGAACCTGAAAGGGAAAAATTGAGAAGAGTAGTTGAAATGACAGGCCAAGAATGGAGTCTTAAAGGATTATTGGGAAATAAAGGAAATATAAAGGATGTTTATAGATTAAGGAAAGCATTATTTAGTTATCTTCAGAATGCAAAATTAAAAAATAGAATTTAATAGATGTAAAACAATGTTGCTACACACTCATGAACAGTAGGTGGCGGTATGCACCTTAAAGTTGCTTGCGAACCGCCATGATAGAAAAGAAGAAGAAGAAGGAAGGAATGCTTTCATTGGATGAAAAGAAGCTGGGTGTGATTGGCTGATGGTATGGTTCATTTACATACATTGCTGAAGTTGCGAGCGCAGAGAGTCGAGCGAGCGGAGAAACAGCCGAGCGCACAGCTGGTGTTGAGCGCGGAGAGAGAGCAGGTCGAGCGAGCGCGAGCAGAGACGGATTCGAGCACGCGCAGAGATGAAACTGAGCGCGAGAACAGTGTGTTGAGAGGGTTTTTCAGAGTTGAGCGCGCGCCAGACCGGTTTTGCGCGCGCGCGTGTTGTCTCACTGCGCGCTCGGATTGGTTCCTGCGCGCTCAAACCGATGGCACAAATATCTCTCCATAAAGGAGAAGCACAGGATAAACATTGGTGGAGAAAAAGGGGAGAAAGAGTGATGAAGCAAGAATCCGGTATGATAATAAATGATGCGAAAGGAAAAAATATTTGAACGCATTGAAAAAAAGAGGTGCGTTCAAAGCAACAGATGAAGATAAAATAAACATTAAAGGTGGAAAATGTGAAAAACATAAGGGGAAGAAAGGAGTGTCGATCAGCAATAGAAAATATTTGAGCACAGAGAGAAAAGCAGATAAATAATGCAGAAGAAAACAACATGAAATATGGAAAAGTCATGAGTTTATATTTCCAATCAACAATAATGAGCTGGATTCTAGATCTGAATAAGAAAGTGACCTGAAATCTGAGCTCTTCAGACTAAAATAAAAAAAACGGTCATTCTTTAAATGTTCTCATAGCGAGATTTCGTTCACAAATTCACCAAATCATGACGAATCTGAAGCGACCTGATGACGGAGTTTCCCAAGCACAACTTATTTGGCTGTAATAAAACACTTGGAAATGAATCTTCCTGCTCTCCACCCAAACTGAAACTCAGGCTTTGAAACCCTCGCTGTTGCTACACAGAAGATATTTTCAGTTTTCCCTGCCATGTATTTTAACCTTTAGATTTCTTTTTACTTTTTTTAACCAGGTAGGTTAGTTTAAAAGGAATTTTTATTCACAATGATAACCTCAACCAAAGGCAGAACACAGTGTAGACCTTATCTGCATGTTTTTGTCCCAAAGCAAGAGCAGCTTTAACCAAATATGGAAGCAGTTATTAAAGCTCAGTGGGCTGGGCAATATGGCCAAAAAGTTATGATAAGCTTTTCATATTATTTAGTATCGTTAATTATTGATTTGATTTTTAACTTTTTAAAATAAGGACAAGCAGAAAAAAAAATCCTGATTTAAATTGTGATCATTTAAAGGTGACTTAAATCCTTAAACACCTCAGCCTTTCCACCATCTTTGCTTATTTTGTCCATGAGACGTTGAAGAGCAAAATATTTTCCTCTGTCTACAGCCCCCACAATGCTGTGCTGTTCTGAATCAAGAGTTCTCTAATATTACAAATGGTTCTATTAGATGCGTTTTCTTTTGAAATAATCAGGTGTCTACTGAAATACATTTTAGCATAGTTTGATTTTCACACTCTAGATGTATGCATTTTTCTGTCATAATTTTTAAACTCTATGGACACACAAGTGTTTAGATTTCTTGCAAATCAAAGTTTCACCTGGACTTCTGATAATTTAATGCTTTTATTTTAACTTAAAAACAGTTTGTTAGGCATTAAAGCCCTTTGCCCAGTAGAGCTCTCTAGCACTGCCACACCAGAAATCACGGGTTTAACCACCACCATCAGATTAGATAACTTTTTATTTGTTGTTGCTTTAATGTAAATAAACTCTTTTTACTCAGGCAAGTGCTTTAATAACAGTTTAATTCATTAATGTGCAGTGACCCGCTAATGAGCAGTAGATGCTAAAATGTGGAACTAAGCCACAAAGATAATTAATAAGAATTTAATAAAAATGTGTGCATGAAATTAAGCATCCATAATTCTAGATCCGTGAATAATAAAGACTCGGATCCGTGAATAATAAAGACTCTGAGGTTGATGGCTACAAATCTCCTATTTCAGGGATGTACGGTTGGCTTTTTCACCAGGAGCACTAGTGCTCCCAAATGAACAAATATAAGAGCACAGAAAAAAATTAGGGGCACTATGAACTTTCCTACATTGGACCTTTTTTTTTTTGTAAATAGACCCAGGTAATAATTACTATTTTATGAAGCTCTCCTTTTTCAAATGGGGGTTTTCGGTAACAAACGCAGGGAAATCTGCCTGCTTCTACCCTATATAATATAGGTTGTCCTCAAACTCAAGTCAAACGACGAGTTTGATCCAATCTGTTTTAAACTTATAAACATGGTTAGCAGTGTTGCTAAAAATCATCAAAATACTAAATTCTGTTTGCTGACATTTCCAATTAGAAATGAAAATAAAGAGCCCTTAAATCTGTGTAAATAATAATGTATGAAGGTTTTAACTAATGCCATATGGCATTTATTGCACTTTTTTCTGTAAGAGCAGTCACTACAATGATGCCTTATTAATCGGTGTTCTAAGATTATTAATGGGTGTTCTAACATTTGTGATTTCCTCTGACAAAAAATATGCATATCAGAATAAATTATGTTAAAAAAGATAATGTTTAGACTTCATAGGTCCATGCCTCGTGCTGACAGTGTTACACCTCAGTCAGCCAGAGGTGAACTGCTGCTCAAGGATAGACCGTCACAAATCAGTTTGTCACTTCCAGCCTTAATTAATTCTGAGGTCTTCGAAGGACCCAGCCTTTGTGGCAGAGTTTTCACCAGGATGTTTTATGAGCGCAGCAGAGCGGGTAATGAAGTAATCACATAGACTGTGATTACAAATTCTCCAAATAAATGTTAAGCTCAAGATTAACTTTATTTTACAAATTCTAGTGTTCCTGAACTGAAACTAAATCAATTTTATGTTATCAAATTGAGACAGTAGTTACATAGTGGCTGAGGTATGAATTAATTGCAGGGAGGATCTATTTAGTGCAACAGGTTCAAAGGAAGAGGGAGAAACGGGTTGCAGCTGCAGTTTGTTGGAGGAGGGATGGGCTCGCTCACTCATTACATGCTGAGGACACCAAACTCAGAGCTATTGGTCACTAAGGTCTTCAAGAAGAGAGGAAGTAGTCGCTAGATGATGTTGCTAGTCATAAAAAAAAAAAAAAGAAAAAGTCTGAAATCCGCTAAATATAGCAAGGGGTTCACCTTTTCACAGCACTTCTCTTATATTTGCCATTAAGGAGGAAAAAGTGTTTTAAGACACTGTTATAAAGTGTTGGCGCTCATCAAAAGTCAGAGTGTCCACAGATTTCCATTGTAGTTCCAAAGGTTTACATATAACCAACATCAAGGAGGGATCTTGTTTTATTTTCCCCCAAAGCTTGCTCTCTGCTGTCGGGGCTGCAGCGTGTTCACCTGCCGGTCAGCTGATTGGAGTCTTAACGGCACTGGGTTCACGTTTTCACCACGCTTCTCTAATGTTTAAGTGTGAATAAGGAGGTAAATGTGTGCACACTGTTTTGCCGCATTAGTGGTCGCTGCCGGATATCTGTGAGGCAGCAGTGACGTCTCATAACCTCTATATATAAATATATACATTTAGCATTTAACTTTTCAGAAATGTATTCTTTCTTGTTTTTTATGTTTGTTTTATTTTATAAAAGACAAACAGATATCTTACCTAATCTAGCCTGAATTATTTTAGAAGTACAATGTGAATAAACGGTGAGAAATCTGTTCTCGCAAGTCTGGGCCTATTTGTGTTTCCAACTTGCACACATCTATTTTTAGGCTCAAATGCGGGTGAAACTTTCACAACATAATTAAGATAAAATAGCTTATCAAAGACTAGGGATTTTTTCCTAACTGCCCGTTCTTACAGGATAGAAACAGCTGAGGAAGTGAGTGAGGGTTTCCTCTGCTCTGCCTCAGGATTTAAAATGAGGAAATCGTTTTAAATGAGCTCCTCCTAAGTGACAGCAAATGTAACATGTCTCTATGCAGCGATGGCTCATACAGACAGCCACACCCCCCTCCCTCTCTTCTCCTTACATCTGTTGTTCATCTTGGCCACTACAGGAGGGAGGGGGGGAGAGAACGAGAGGAAACAAAAAGAGGAAGAGAGAGGGCAAGGGGTTAGTGTTTACAAGACTCATCCACCCCACATCCCTCTCTACAACTCTTCTCTCGTTCTTTCCATCCTCACTCCCCCGATTATCAACTACTTTTGTACGTAACACCGCCTCAGCAGAGTCAACGTTCAGTTTAGCTCCGACCGAAGAGCACATCAACTTCCAGATTATGCAAGAGGTCTCCTTCTACACTACCAGATTATTCTGTAATCTGTGAGAACTCAGAGGAGCTCTGTACTCACAGACCAATCAGTGTTTATCACAAGGCGACATCAGATTACACCAGGCTGGTCAATAATTACTCAGATGATGTGACAGGGAGGATAATTGAAGCAAAAACCAGCTGATCCCCTAAACACGGTCTGTAGGCTTTAAAAAGCGCAGAACAAATTTTGATTTTGAAACATTTAATGAAATGAAAACTAATTTTTCTTGTTTGATTTCATGATAGTAGGTGTGGTTATGGAGTTCAATCTTAGATTAGATTATTGAGGTTTTAACAAATGTATAAATTAACTACATTTTATAAACAAAAACTGCAAAAAATAGAGGATGAAACTGAACTTATGAAGTGTTTGATGCTTTATAACCAGAAAAACAGCTTCTGATTCTCTAAGGAAAAAAAATATTTCTTTCTTTATCTTAAAATCTTCGCTTACAGGAGATATGAAAACTTTTCAGTTTTATTTAACATCAAAATAGGATAGAATATATTTTTGTTATGAAAGGCTTTTGGGTGGAGGTTTTGTTCTACTACTGCTCTGTAAGTCACAGCAAACAAACCAAAAAGGATCTGACAGAACGCCCCAGCCCCACTGTGTTTAACCCCCCCTCCCCCATTCCTTTTTAAATCTTAAATCTTTCTGTGAATTGAATAAAATATTCTGCCTCTTTCTGATGCCTCCTCACCTTCTCTCTTCATGCCCATGGCGAGGCATTTCTGGTAGCGGCAGTACTGGCAGCGGTTCCTCTGCCTCTTATCCACCGTGCAGTCTTTATTGTCCCGGCAGGTGTAGGTCAGGTCTTTTCGCACCGTTCTTTTGAAGAAGCCTTTGCAGCCCTCACAGCTGTGGACGCCGTAGTGCTTCCCTAAAAAGCAAAACATTGTAAAGACAGCAGAAGTCAGTAGAAACAATGCACATGTCTTCAGACGTTTTAGACAGGCTGCATTTAAAAATGCTGTTCTGAGGTGGTTTACCGACCAGAGGATCTATCTCCGCAGATGGAACAAAGGCGTTTCTGGGAAAGCATGGGGCCTGGGCTGTGGGAAGAGAGCTGCTTCAAGCCAAGAGGAGGTTTCACATCATCGGAGCTGCTCACTGCATGGAGCCCTGACATGGTCACTGTTGAGTTGATCTAAAACAACAACCACAAAAAAATGAAAATTGTAAATCCAGAATCAACAGCTTAAACAAAGAAACATCAGACCCTTCAACCAAAATAACAATGGTAGCTAAAGGTCAAGCAGTTAAATGACCAGATACTGAGTAAATTTTAGTTCATCATTTACTGATAAAGGTTCACCTCTAACAAAATGGACAATAAACAAAAAGAAAATGTTTAAAATTAAAATCTACATTTTGTTTAACAGCAGATTTAGGGGAAAATAGTGCAGTTAGAATAATCTACTGGATGTAAATTCAACACTCAAAGATACAGAAATATTATTTTCATATTTCTAGGGCAAAGTATTCTGAGGAGTCTTCAACCAAACATTTTAATTTTCTAATGTATTTCCAAGATGTTAGGATCTGATGCTCACCTGGGGGCTGCTAATCGGGCCGTATCCCACAGACGGTGTGCCGGGGAGGCAGGGCGAGTCCAGTGATGAGCTAATAACAGAAAAAGGTGAGCCAATGCTGCTGATGGGGCTGTTTACCCCGGTGGTGGTGATGGGTGGCAGTGAAGTCATGGAAGCTGCTGAGGGAACCAGCGGTGGGGAGCGCTGGCCCGACGGAGGGGAAGACATGGACGAGCTGTCCGGACTGCGAGAATCTGACAGGAAGCCAGCAGAGAGAAAGAGAGGATGTCGGAAAAAGACTAACATGTCTGCAGCAGTAACTTTAGGTTTTCTTTAAATATGAGAATGTGGGGAGTTTCCCCTCTACGTTAAGAGTTTGACATTTTTATAATGTGAAAATTACTTTCTTACCAAAACAATAACTGAAGCTATGTGGATATTTTGTTTTGTTCCTTGAATTTGGATTTATTAAGCTGTTCCATAAAACATTGACCAACAATTTCAGGTTTTACTGTTTTAGAAAAAAAAAAGTTTTGATGACAAATAAAACCCAAAAGTGTTCTGCTATGAAACAAATATGCATTTATTAAAGATAAACTACATAGCAGTTAATGGAAAGCTTTGGTGACCAGGCGGATTGGAGTGGACAAAAAAATCTACATAAAACCATGTATTTTATTTCAATAATCCGGATTTACTTTGGTTTATTTCATTGTGCAAAGGTCAGGTGGACTTTGAAGGGTCAGCTCTTTTACTGCCAGTCCATTTTTATCTGTATAGCACAGTTGATTAAAGTGCAACACAACAAGTAACAAACAAGATAAAGATAACAAGAATTCAAAAAATTATAAAACATTACAAATGCACAGTAAAATTAGTCTAAATTGTATTTTTATTGTCAAACTCAAAATGTGCTAAAAGTTAAAGAATAATAGTGTTTGTAAAGATTTAAAAACCTTATCTGTGTTAAAGTAAGCAGAGATGGGATGTAATTAACAAGAATATTTTGAAATCCATGCTTTGATCTTTAATTTCCATGTTTTAGGTCAGTTTTATGGAAACAAACCCTGAAAGACTTGACTGTGATAAATGAGCCGTGTTGTTATGATCACTCTGAAAAGTTGGCACCCTCATCTACTGCTGTCTGGGCTTTCTCAGCTTTATGTTGCTTTTTGCCTGATCTCTTCATTTTCTTTTGAAAATAGAGATCAGCTGAAAACTCATATGATACTGAAGGAACTGATATACAAGCAAAACTATGTGATGTTTTAAGAAAGATAAATAAATCCCAAAAATTCAGTACTGTACTGTACTGTAACATTCTGTCATTTTATTCTCAGAATACAAACAAACATTCGCAGCGATGTGTGCCGATGTAAGTTTAAAAAAGCACCAATTTTAAACTTTCCATAACTTTAGTTAAAAAGAAGTGTTCAAAAATAGAGTAAGGTGTTGAAAAAAAAATCAGTAAACTTCATCAAAAACTGGGGAGTGTTGGCCTAGTAGATAGAGCAGTGTGTTTGTGCTCTAAAAAGGTTGCAAGTAGCCGGTTTGATCCCCGCAGCCTGCACTCTGGGTCCCTGAGCAAGACCCTTAACCCCTGATTGCTCCCCTGGCGCCGCACAATGGCAGCCCACCGCTCCCCAAAAGGATAGATTTAATGCAGAGAGTGAATTTCTCCAATGTGAGATCAACAGAGTTAAAATATTATTAATTATAAATTATTTAAAAAGATTTTAGAATGCTTTGTGACATTAAAATATGATGTCTAGGTTACTAAAATAACCTGATGAATCAGAGACAATTTTCACAACTAAAATTAAAACATGTTAAAACCCTCTTTTGCTATTTATGGGGTGATAATTGGCAGATCTACAACAACAGGTGTTAGCAGTGTTTCAATGTTTTACTTAATGCTGTTTTTTTAGGTGTAAAAGTTTAGCTAGAATTAACATAAAACCATCAAACCATTTAACTTCCAGTATAAATATAGCGTCATGTAAACAGACCATTAGAGGTAAATAGATGTGTGCCGCTTTAAGGCTCACCTCTGCTGTCTCCCATGATGATGGCTGGTTGGCAGCGATCAGCCGCGGTGCCTTCCTCTTTAACAGCCCGCTATCAAACTCGAGACCGCGGACTGAGGCCCGGGCCGGAGTTGGTTTGGGAAACCAAAAACGGGTCTGAGATTCCAACACAAGGGAGAGCCCACAAAAAAAAAGAAAAGGGAAAAAAAAAGGAAAGAAAAATTACCGTGTGTTGAACTTTTATTAAAACAAACAAGAACCAAACATCAGTTTCAAACATTTATCTCCCTTTAACCGCTAATATTAAAACGCATACGTGTAAATTCTTTTTTTTTTTTTTTTGGCATTTAGTGTAACGTTAGTTAGATTTGAAAGCCAGCCAGCAGCCCAGCTGATGCCAAGAACGTCTTGTCCAGATATATTACAAAGCTATAACGAATTAATATTAAGCTAACAACGTGTTAGTGATCTAACTCGATGCGTTTATCGCATCGATTATAACATCAAACAACAGCATAAACACAGACGGAGACCTGACAGATGGCAACAAACCACCGCTGCTATGAGGCAGCCATGCTAGTAGCATTAAAGGCTCGTGAACTAGCCAAGCTAACGTTACTGGAAAACTTAAAATGCCCGACTCTCCACAATATGTAAGTTTATTTAGTTATGTTTTAATATTAAATCATACTCACGACACTCAATGCACGATATAAATAACGTTGATATTCATTGTCACGTTTATAAAACATAAATGAGTGTCTGGTTGAAGTTGGCAAGGTAAGCTAGCTATATTTAGCCACCTAGCCCAGCAAGCTAACTGGAGCTAAAGTGGAGCAGAGGAGAACTGGACGGACCAGAAGAAAACAGATTATCACAGCCCGTTCCGCCTGTCTTAATCCCTCCCCTATTCTAGCTGAAATGAACAAGTTTATATCTAAAAAAATATATATAAAAAAAGATATGACGGTTTAACGGCGCAGCTTCTTCTCATGAAAAGATGTGGCGACTAGGCCCGGTGCCTCTCTATCTCTCCCCCCACTTCGCCTCGCAGTCAGGCCTCCCTCCCTTCCTACCCTTCCTCCCCCTGCGCCGATGAAAACATGATGATGATGGTGGAGGATTTGGCTTAGAGCTCCTGTACAGTTGAACATTGGCCCCGAAAAGTCACTGCAACAACAACAGAGCAGCGTGGCTCCTGAGGGGCTGTGTGGCCATGATGCGCCTCACATGTCTGACAGGGAGACGCATCCAGAGCAGGTCAGGAGGTCAAGACAAGTTCAGCTTTGCATTTCAGTCGCTCCAAAGGTTATTGTCGGACAAGGCTTGAGGTAATGGGTGTATTAGGTGTGTGTACTCTTATGCAACATTTTCAGTTTTACAGCACCATTAAACTCAGAATCACTGCTGAGATGAACACATACTCCACCTGAATTACTCCCTCCTTACTGCTTTTGTTTTGAGTCTTATACATTTAAATATTTTATATGTCAGATTTAGTTGTTTTTTTTAATCAAATATTGATTCGACCAAAGCTGATCAAAAAGCATACTTTGAAAGGCTCTTAGATTATTGTTTTGAGTTACCTGTTTTAGCACCAATAACCACCCTCATACCTGCATTCTTCTTTTAAGTGACATGTTTTTGTTTTTATAAGGGTTGCAGTTATACTGTTTTGACCGCTTTCTAACACTTGATATTTTTAAGCGTAATGCCGAAAAAATACCTTGACTTTCTTTAAAAAAATGTTTTCCAAAAGCTGCAACATGATTCGACAATTTGTTACTAAGACTTAGACAGATTTATTTTGTCATTTTGTATACACAAGTGTAAACAAAAATAAATTTTTCGAACTCTCTAGACAATTTCCTTTTTTTAAAGTGCAGCCTTGAAAACAGTAAAAAAAAAGACATAAAGACAGTAATATAAACATATGACTGTATATTTACAGTTCTAACATTTCAGCTTTTTTTTTCTTTCAATTTAATAAATATAAATATACATAATTCAGCTTTAGTCATTGTAATTTTGATTATTTAGAAAATGGAATTCAATATTAAGAGACTTTATGTAAGTTATTTTATTTTTAAATTAATATTTTTTTTTTAAATATACAAAACATTGGTTAAGACTAAGATTGTGAATTCATTAAAGTTGGGTTAGGTTACAAAAATACATATTTTGATCAGAATGAATAGTATGATTTAATCATGTCACTGTCAGATTTGTTCTTTTATTTCAAGAATTGCTTGAACTCACTAAATGACTTAATATTTTAAACAGTTATTGCTGTAGCATTATTATCAATTATATGAGCTATATTTTAATTTTAGTTTTCCCCCCTTATAACACATTGTTCTTTGGCAGGATCTCTCCACTTCTTGTTGATATCAATTGATAGTTCAAGGATTTAAAGACACAAGCGCACCCAAGGGGACTATTGTTGTATTGCAGTTACATACATTAGATTGATTCTTGGTACCAAAGAAAACTAATAGAAAGTTTAAGAAAAGTCAAACTTTCAAAAATCTTTTTTTTTTTTAAGTTGCATTTTATTCATTAAAATTGCCTGTGTTCTGACTATGAAAATAGTAGAATTACTATTTACTACATTTCTAGAATAAATATGGAAGAGCATTATTAGAATATAAAGTTTTACATAAACTATTTCAAGACCACAAAACAAATTCTGTAATAATACTAAATTAAATTAATTAAATGTCTTCCCTAGAAATAACAGCATATTATCAGATAAGCAAAATAAGTCCTTAAAAGGTTAAATTACATTTATATTTAATATTGTTCTCAGCTGCTTTATAAGGAATAAACAGAGTGTGAATAAAAAAGGAGACTGTGGTTATTACTCATTATTATCTCTTATTTTTCCCCATGAATTCAATTAAGACTTGAGATATTTGTGTTTTGTTTTCAGTCCACAGAGAAAGAAAGACAATAAAAAAGCAGAACAGATTTAATGATTTCACTTTTTTTTTATTGCTTACATTTAGAAAACATGTTAACAAAACTACAAAGGCATCAGAATTAAACACATCATATGAAATAAGTTGTCACAGGAAATAAAAGGAACTGAAGTTTAAATATAAGGAATAAAGAAAGTTTTATCTTAATCTTTTACAGCATTGATATATGTTGTAGACATTATACCACTTTACACCCCTGTTATCTTGATTTTAACAGATGATGGTGTTTCAGCATCTTTGCCAGTTTAAAAGAATTACTTTTGTTTTGTTTTGTTAGAAACAGTTTTTTGCTGTCTAAAGTTTGCAAACCTCTTGATGCTCCTCTGGATTGTTTTTGTCTCTCTGTGGTTTAATTTGCATTACATTCTTCCTGCAACAAATAAACCCTTAATATTTGTGATTAGTAATCAGACAGAAGCAATCAGTTGTTCCTCTACCTTCTGACCTGAAATCCTCCTGCTGTCACTAAGTTTCTACTTAATTTAAAAAACCTAAACCCAAACCTGATCGTTTCAGGGATATCCAACAGGGACACTAATTAATGCTGAAGATGTCACTATCTAAATATGTGCTCCTCTCCCGTGTGTGTCAGTGCCGCTTTAGGGATTAGCCTCAGTGTGTGTCCACCAGTGATTAGCCTGGTCAGTGGGCCTGTTGTGCATTCACTCAAGACATTAGCATATTAATGCAGCCTCGCTCTTGATCCCCCCCTCTGCCCTCCAACTAGGCCGCTCTGTCCCTCTCTTGCATTTTCTCTTTCTCTATACATATTTCCCAGCCTGCAAAGATGCTTCCTGCAGGTTCAATCTATAAATCTGACCAATTTACGCTCCTCTTGCTGTGAAGCTGCACACAGTCTGGCCACACAAACTTCAAGCTTCCCGGTCCTCCATTTCCCTCCAAAAATCCCCCCTCCTTCTACACCACATTCAAATCCTCCACTTGCTCTCATTTTCCCTTTTCTTTCCTCAGATACCCCCCATCGCCCCCTCCTCCCGAACTTTGTCAAACACAGGAAAACACACAGAAGCAAATTCACAGAGGGTGAGCATACCCACCCACCCACTCACACCCACAATCCCCCAATCCCCATTCACTCTCCTTTTCTGTTACTTCACCCTTTCCAGTGCAAATTCAGCCAGACCTGCTGTAGACTTCAGTGTTGAAGTGTAGACCGGAAACCTTCAACCATTCAGCTTTTTAATTGCACCTTAGACAGACTTTAACCTTCTTTCCAAAATGGGGACGCTCTTCATCTGCAGAGTAAAATGTGTAGAAATAATTAGACCTTGCTCCTATATGAAGGAAACAATTGAAATGAGCAGAAATTTAATTAAAATGAACTAATTTCCACTCTTTACTTGTGCAAGCTGGAGAATTTCTACATTAAAAATGGAAAAACAAATATCATTTTGTGGAACCATAATTCGGAAATAGATCAGAAGGTGTTATTTAAGTTGCCTTGAGATTTAGCAAATGAGGTGACTTCCTATTTATTTCCTGCTGCTGTTGCCAGGAAGGAAATATTAACTTTTCTCTACACTTTCACCCAAATATGCCGGAATCTATCAAGGCTGAATAAAATGTACCTAAAAAAAGCATTCTAAAAAACAGCAAATCCTAAAACTGCTTTAGTCTTATCAATAAGACTGTTGGACTGTCTTGCAAAAATTGAGGTGAGTTTCTTGGAGGCTTCAGATTTGCATAAACTCAAACTCTGCCTGGTTCAATAGCCTTCTGTTTGTCTTTCTGTGTCTCAGTCTTCCACCCACAGAGACACAGACTGATCCCATCCATGGTGGTCTGTCCCTCGCAGATGTTTAGAGGTCAGGGGCGTGATGTCCATCCACAACTCCTGGTTTCACAAAGGCAGACGCAAGAATTGCGTTTGGACAATCAACTCCAGACCTCCGTGTCTCTTTCTAGTCATTAGTGGCTCACATTCTTGGAGAGGCAGGTGCATCCTCTGGTTGTGCGGCAGTTGATGTGGAGCTGATTTACTGATTCAAGTTTCAAGCCACGCAAGCCTGTGAAGGGATCCAAACTATCAGTTTCTCCACTCGCTGAGAGAAAGGTTCAAGGCAGTGTTTGTCGGCAGACTTCAGGTCAGTGCGTGAGGATGAAAGGAAAGAAAGACCCAAGGAAAAAGAATGAGGAATAAGCCTATGAAAGAGAAAGGAGAAAAGCGCTAACTCATGGTTGTATTCTGCGCCGGTGACACCATGATAAACGAAGGGGTCACCACCCGAGGGTGGGCCCATCTTAAAGGAGCCTCTGACCTTGTACAAAAGAAGGAGCGGGTCCCCCAACGGTCACATGGATCAAAGAAGACAAAAGCCTGAGATGATAACTCAGCACACCACCTGATTATCAAGCACGTAACCAAGAGCAGTGAAACATTTCCCCAAGTTAGAGTGGGAGAAATAAAAGTTGAGGCTGTGACTCGCTCTAATCTGATTCGCCGAACCCTACATTTGCTCTCCATCTGATTCGCTCTGTTAGGCGTTCTCTCTTTCTGTGGGACTCTGTCTTTATCCAAATGATGCAGTCTTTGGTGAGGCCTGGCCTATTCATCTGAACCCCATGTGCCGGTTGCCCACCATTGAGGTGCAGAGTAGCATGGTCACAAAGGATGCCAGCGATTCATGGAGCCTGCTCCTTAAAGTCTTAAGCCTGCGTTCAGAATGAAGTCAGCAGTTAAACAATAATGGTAAAAAATCTTTCATTTAGTTCAAGAATTTAAATCCTGCAGTAAGCGGATAGAATATTTTTGTCATATAAAAAAAAAAAAAGAGTTTTCTTTTGCTTATTGGGTAAATGAGTCCATAAGGCCCAATGGCCCAAAGTTTTTACCAGTAGCAGAAGCCTTTCAGTAAATCCCATCCTTAACCTATGCACCAGCAGAAAAGATTAGTTTTCTTTTCTAAACATTTCATATATTAAAAAACCCTACAAAACTCTTTGCTCCATTTTCCTGACAAGTTCTAATCATGCCTGAATTAAAAATCCTAAACTTTTCTGCCTCACATTGTCTCCAGGTATGAATCCTCCTCGGCGCCCTGTTTAAAAGTGACCAGAAAGATGGATTACCTAAAGGAAAGGAGGCCTATAGTGCCAGGTATTGAGACCCTTTGGGACCTGAAATCTGGATCAAGAATTTCTGCAAAAAGCCCGCCATAAAGTCCCTCTCAACCAGCGCTCATTCATCCTTACATATGCGACCGTCATCCTCTCCTCGGTTCCATCCTCCCTCCATTCTGGGTCGAGTATTAGCCGCATCGCTGTCGACGTCTGAACGCACTTGTCCTACTTCTCCATCTTTCACTCAGTCTGCTGTTGCCTCTTCTGATCCTGCATCCTTCTCTCTCTCCTTCTTCAACCCTTTCTGTCCGGCCCACCCTCCGCCTTTACATTTCCTCCTGGTTTCCCCGCCCTCTTTCTCCTCTCTCTCCCTCTCCTTTCACTTATTCCTTGTCTCTCGCTCTCTCTCTACCCTCATTTCATGCAGCGCTGGGGTTACCTAAGAGACTGGGCCTCAATGGAGAAAATCTCCTTTGGTACAATGAGTTGGGCGAGAGGCAGAGGGGAGGGAGAGGAATGGGGGTGCAGGGTAAAATCGGGGGGTGCTGGACACAGGAAGGGAGGTGGGGAAAGTAGAGGGAAAAGATAGTGGGATGCAGATGCTTTCACTGATGGAAGGGGGATAGGAAAAATTGAATAATTGGCTTTGCTTGTGATTTGCCTCAGTGGTCAGTCTTTTGATGGTTACTTATAGTCCCCCCCTCACAATGGGGAGTCAGTGGCTCCCACTAATTAAGAATGAACCCATTTGATGAATTCAGTAAAACTTTGAAGGAAATATAATCATTAAGAAACCAAAATGTCATCTTGATACATTTCTGGGATGTTGTCAGATTGGGTCATAGTTCTGTTCGCATGAGAGAAGCGACATCTGTGCTGTTTAGTTTGTTTAACGTTTGTTTGTTCTATTGGCTGGAAGTCCAAGATGGCACCCAAAGGAGTATAGTTCTTTTTTTACGATGAGCAAAAGTAATTTAACTGCATGAACCTCCGTCATTTAGGACAAGTAATTACACAACACCTCTTTAATCTTTTCCCCGACTTGGCTTGGAAGATTGGAAGATGTTGTCCTAAAAAAGAATAAAAAAAGAAAGAAATGGAGGGCTGACAAACTCAGTCTTGTTTGGAGGTTAGTTACAGATTAGCGCAGAAGTGTTGCAGTTCATTTTCTTGCTGCACCTTATTGAGCTCCTCAGCTATTCTATTAACTTCCTCATTTGTCTCTGAGTTGGCAAACAGATCCCCTGCTGCTCAGTTTTGTCTCTTTACAACTCATCTCCCCTTCACAAGCCCCTCATCACACTGGAGGATGTAAGAAAACAATGAGGCCAATAAAAGAAGCAGGGAGATAATTAAAGCACGGCTAAGACGTTGGCCTGCGCCCTAAACCATCAAAACCAGGGATGTGAATCTGGATATGGGGGTGACGGCGGGGCTTCTTTAGAAGAAATGAAACTTATCCTTATTTTCCATGTAGGTCCGTGTAAATGCCGGGATGAATCTAGGACCTCAGTGTTAATGACTCTATCAGGGCCTGAAATCCAGAGGCTCCTGCTGAGGGAAGAGATCCAAAGGGATCAGGGTGTTTTGAGTGTGGAGCAGGAGGTGTCAAAGCTGGGGCTCTCCGAGTGTGTGTTTAAAACTGGGGGCCGAAGGAGGGGGGGACGGAGAGGGCAGATTGTCCGCGGTTCTCTCCCTTCTGCTGAATGAAGTTATTTCCAGGCCCCTGTCCATCTGTTACCGTGGCAGCAGCGGTGACCAAGGTGTTGCCATGGTGAGGTGGACACAAAAAGGTGTGGCGTGGGAACGGGTCCAGGGGTCAGGAGTGAGGGTCAGGAGGGTCAGGGGGGTCACAGCCAGCTGGACAACACACAAGAGGAGACGGGGTGAGAAAAGAAGGAGGGAAAGTTCCTTTTTTTCTCCTTTTCTTCTCCTGGTTTTTCTGCTCTGGAGGGAGACGTTAGAAGAGTGGACACCACTGGACATTAACATTGAACTGGGGCGGTGAGATGAAAAAGAGGGGGGGTGGCGTGGAAGAAGGTCCCTGGGTTCCACAGAAACGGGCCCCCATAATGTCCAGCCTCTGCAAGTAGGGGGGCTTCTCCTACCTTACTGATGTCTAATCGCCCAAAGCATTTGACAGGCAATTGACTCTGGTCAATGTACGTCCAAATGTGACAACTGAGAAGATGTGGAGGACTGTGGGTGCCTGTCTGTGTGGTCATAGTGTGTCCAATACCCAAACCGAACAAAGCCTTTTGGACAACATTTCAGTTTGGTCAATTTATGCGCTAAAACTTTCTTAGACAATGGGTCAAACTGAAGGGGTAATGAACCAAAATCATTTGCTGAAGGTGGGAAAGAGGCACCATCATGGACAAAGTCTCTAAAACTTTCATAAAACAGTTAAAAAGTTGAATCTTGGCCTTAAAAAAAAAAAAAAAATATATATATATATGTATATATATCTCACAATTTGGTATTTTGGAGGCTTCATGGGTTCAGTACAGAAAAGTGTTGATAATGTCTTATAGGAGTCCTGGTTCGAACCCCAGCCTAGAATCTTTCTGCATGCATGAAGTTTGCATGTTCTTTATGTGGATGCGTGTGCTCTCTACGGAAACAGGACACCTGTCCAGAGTGTCCCGTCTCTTCTACCATAGACTGCTGGAGATAGATCCAGCCCCCCTAATCCAACAGACAAGCGATAGCAGATGGATATTTATATCTAAACACATTTTTTTTTTACCCTCAACAAAGTCCTGGTATAATTCTGGCTGTATATTTAGTTATTCTCATTAGAAATGGAAATGCTCATTTACATTTAGACTGGTTTGTTTTATTGTTCAGACCACACTCTTAACTATAAACTACAAATGATTAGGTTTTATTTTAAGGTAATATATTTTACATTAGGAGAGTTCCACAAGCTCAATGTTAGCCTGCTTCATCTGTGCAGAATCCAGTTATCATTTGTACTTTTTAATTATTCTTATGTTGGAATGACCAACATAAGGTTTGGTTTTACTCAACTGAGCTGAGTTGTCCGCCGAAGGGGATGGAAAGTCCATCAGGATCTTTGGGAACAATTCAGGAAATGCTAAAGTTTGATCACAAACTGTCGATGTTGGAAATATTACTTTCAACAGGAAGGTGAGTATATCATCAATATGGTCTGAAATGACGGCACCACTGAAGAAGCGCCTGCATCAAATATGGCAGCTATGAGCTTGACAGAAATTCTGTGTTTGTCTGCATTGATAAACAGAGGTTCCTTGGCAAGTTTAGGAAAACACAGATTAGAAGTAGTCACTTAGAAACGGAAGCTCAGAGAAGATTGGACTTTTGCCGTTACAGCTCCCAAAATATTGGAAATTTTGATGCTTTAAAGCAATGATTCCCAACCGGGGGTATGCTTATCCCAAGTGGTCCGCGAGTGCACTGCAAGGGGTACATGAAAATATTTGATTTCTTAGGTAGTGAAATAAAATAGGGCTGGGATCTGTTTTTCTTTGTGAGGAACCATTCAAAAATGAAACAAGCTTTTATCCACGAAAGAAAGTTTTTCTTATATGATTGAGTTCACCAAAATGAGGCAGAGGAGCAGACTGGACGTAGAGAACAGGGATCAGCTGTTTTTCACACTGAGCTATTGGACCTCATCAAAGCAGCTCAGGTGTCTTGATGAAAACAAGTAAAACTAATTAAATCAGACTGACTATTATAGTTGTTCTATATTTTTTCCCAATTCCTCAAATTTAAATGTGATTAAAAGGCAGTTACTCAGAGCAGCTACAGTTTTTTGTATTTATTTCGATTTCAATGTTTTTTTCAATTTGAGATGGAAAGAATAAAATGCCTAAGACCTAAATGCTCAGGTTAAAAAAATAAATAAAATAGTTTTTATTTCATAATCAGTAATTGTAAGTTCCACTTTTGGATAATCATCAATGCTTTTGACTGAGGGGTACTTATGGTAAGACAAAGGTACACAATTTAAAAAAGGATTATGCTTTATAGATATGCCTGTTGAGTAGACTCACCTCATTTCTTCCACTTTCATACCAGTATGAGGTGTAAATCAGCTTTTTATTTTGTTCTCAAAGATAGTTTTTATGTTGCTGGATAAATTTTTTATTTACTGTTGTAATTCTTATTTTTTTTGTTCTATATCGTTCTATTTTTATGTATTTTAATCAATCATCATAGTGCCTGCTGTTTCTAAAGTAAAAATGCTGTACCAACCATGTGGTATATTAAGGGCATAATTTAGTGGTGAATTTAAACCTATCTGTGGTTTAAATTGAACAAAGAGAATTTGTGTTAAAATTTCAATTCTTTAAAAAAAAACAGTTTTATTCCATAACTAAACTCTATCATTTATAATGGAAGTTGTTGATGGGAGCAGCTCAGAAGTTCCTCCCCTCAGGATGGCGTCTCAGCTAAACAGAATCAGGCCAGATGAAGCTACTATGACAAGAAAAAGTTAAACGTTGAACTTTGAACTTACAAATACTGTAGAATGGGAGAACAAAGATAGAATATAGCACAATAATAAATTAATAATTAACTGAATTCAAATAAAGTTTGTGCCAATATTGTGTTTATATACATTTTATCTAAACAACTTCCTGTGCAAACCTGATACTTTTTATTTGAAAACATTCTTACTTGTATTTAAAAGCTTGCGAACCTTTTATTTGGGGATGTTTGTTGATATTCTCACCAGAAAAACAGGGAAAAGCTGATCAATGGAGCTGACCTGGTTCTCTGGTCCAACTGGACACAAGTTCATCATCTGCAGACAGCATTCATAGATTCAGATTTTGTGACCTTTTTATTGTCCTGTCCTAAACATTAGTTCATCTGGTTTTATTGTCTGTTTGATTTTGGTGTTTGAAATAATTATATTTTAAACCCTGAAACTGATTTAAACCTTTTAAGTCAGCAACTGCAAAAGTACTGAAACCATAGTTTGCTTTAAAACCACACCAAAAACCTGTTTGTTTAGAGTGGCCTTTAACCATGCCATATAAACATTAGTAGTTTTAGATTGAAGTTCAACTTTCTTCCATTTTATTGTCAATCATTTATTCAAGGTTTCAATGATCTTTATACACACACAATTGACATTTGCATGTTTGTGGTACGACATTTGGAATCAGTTCCCAGTTAACATTCAAGTTATAATAATCTTTATCATTTCAATTATTGTATTATCTTAATTACTTATGCTCCTTAATTATATTTATGAATGCAATATACTCTTTTGTGTGTGTCTTCCTGTTATGTTTCTCTTTGTCACATGCAGCACTTTG